TGTTTCTTAATGTTAATGTGTTTTGTGTTTGTTTTTATCCTATATATGCTACTCCATTGTGTGTGTGTGTTTGCTTTTGGGCTACTGTGTGCTTTTTTGTTTCCACCAATGGCGAGTTCCCCTTTGTGGGGAAGAAATAATAAAAATACAAGCACGTATACATATGTATTCTTAATTATGTATACAACGTTTTACAGTAATGGTTTATATTTTTCTGCGTTTTCGATGGAAACTGGGCTGTTTGTTGATTTTTTGTTTTTGTGACTTTTTCTTTGGTTCGGCTCTTTTGTGTGCTTTGTCCTGCACTGTGGTGTTGGAATGCTTTGTGCGGAGAGAAAATAATAAGGAATATATATATATATTTGTAATTGTGATTGGTACGACCGTAAGAGACACTGATATTTATTTCTGTGCTTATTGCTCTTGTTGGTCGTTTTCATAAATTTTATTTTTCTTTTTTAGGGGTTCATTGGGATTATCTTTTGATTACTGGGTACTGTGTGCTTTGTTCCCTTTAATTTGGACTTCATCTGAGTGATGGTTAGCAATTTCTCTCATGTGTTTTTGTGTTGCAATAGTTTTCTGTTGTTTGATGTTTATCCCATTATCTGTGTTTCTCTTACTCCTTTCTTCCTTTTATTTTGGACCACTGAATATATTTGTATAGTAACACCAACAAAAAAAAGTAATGATGGCCGTACGTCGTGTGCTTTGTATTCTGACCATCGCACTGTGTTGTGTCTGCAGTGTTGTGGTAGCTACTCAAGCTGAAGGGCAACTTGATGGTGGGGCTCTTCAGACGCCTGCTGGTGTTAAGAACCCTGGTGAGGAGACAATAAAATTGGGAGATACTGTGAAAGAAACTGAGTGTGGAACTGAAGAAGCAAAGAATAAACAATGCGTAGCACCAGCCGTGACGGCCCTACCCCCAAAAGTTGAAAGGGCAGAAGAAGCACCTGAAAGCCGTACAGATTTACAAACCAAGCAACCCCAAACGGCAAGTGCTCCTGGTGCTCCTGGTGTTTCCCCGGAAGGAGTGATCAGAGAACAACCTGGACTAAGTGAGGAAAATGAACGAGACGAAAGTCAGGGAGGTAACAGAAGGAGCCAACAACAATCTGTCAGTGGGCCAGAAACAGATACACCTGGAAGAACACAGGACACCAGTGGAACAGAACAAGAAACACCAGACGGACAGGCACAGGGAAGTAATACACAATCTCAAGAAGATCGAAACACAGAAACTTCTTCTTCTTCTGTAACCCAAACCAGCAATTCGGACTCAGAGAATGCCAATGACACTGGTGCTGGAGCGAATGGAAATATTCCCACAAATGCGCAGAGTGAGTCCACAAGCAACGAAGAAAGTCTTGAAGGTAATACAGATACACCCACCACTACCACCAC